CCCCTTGACCCCCTTCCCCCCCCCCCCCCCCCCTCCCCCTGGTGCCCCCCCGCGTCTCCCTCACCCCCCTTCCTCTTCCTCGCCCTTGCACCCCCTCTTCCTCGCGCCCTCCCCCATGCTTCCTCGGGCCCCCTCCACCTCTCCCTCAACCCTTTTCCACTCCCTCGTACACCCTCGCCCACACTCCCTCCCCCCACACCCTCCCCTTCCCGCCTTCACAGACGTGCACATGGCTCTCTGTTGGCAGGAGGTGACAGTGAACCTGTTATGTAAACGGCCGTTCCTGGAGAGACAGACCACGTACACAGAATGTTGTTGCCGATACGGTGAAGCCTGGGGAATGGACTGTGCCCTTTGCCCTGCCAGAAACACAGGTAACTCTGATCTCTGACCCTGACCCTGGGTACTTGAGTCTGATGACCTTTCCCAAGCGAGCTTCAGCTTTTGGAGAGGATGAAAGGCCTGAGTGTGTGATTGAGGAACAATTGATGAGCTTCGGACGCTAAACTCTCTCTTTCTCTTCCCCCCCCCTCCCCCCACAGAGTATCACAATGAGTTGTGTAATTACCTGAGTATGCCTCTGAGTGAAGATGAGGATTTTTCTCAAGGGCTGGAATATGAAAACTATGAGCTACCAAATGGGCCTGAATTCCCCCCAGATTCTCTCAGTCGTTATCGCCCACGAGGATATGTTCCAGTTCCACCTCAGATTGGAGATGGGCGTGACTACAGACCTCCAGAACGCGAGCCATTTCTGCCACGGGATTCCCTGCCCAGGCGCCCACCATATGACTCCCGTCAGCTGCGCTCTGGGACAGCCTACAGGAGGCAGAGCTCACCCAACCGGCGTCGCTACCAGACCCAAAGTAGGCAGCTGGGACAGGGCTACAGCACTCGAAGCATCCAGACACATGTCCCAGATCGAGAGGCAGACCAACCCTGGCGTCGCTACCAGCTCCGGGAACCTGTCCGAGCTGCTCCAGAATTCCGATCTCCCAGTGTCCCCCTCCTCGTCAGCAGCAATGAGGAATATGACAGTAAGTAAAGGAATGTCTGTAGTCACTGACACTGACCTATCAACATGCTCTGTTACCTTTGCTTCTCTCACCTCATTTCTCCTCAAATATTTTCATGCACCTCGCTCCTGCAAACAAACACTGCTAGTCCCCTCTCGTCCCTCTTTCCCCTAGTCATCTCCAATACCCCCTCAATCCCTCCCCCACGATCTCCCCTCAATTCCCCTCAATCCCCCATCCTCCTCAATCCATCCCAATCCAAATCCCAAACCCCAATTCCCACTAATTCCCTCCCCCAATCCCTCTCCATCACCCCCTATTCACCTCAACCCCCCCTAAATACCCCCAATCCACCCCTCAATCCCCCCATACCTTTCTCATCCCCACTCCACTCCTCTACCCTCTCACTGTTTCTTGCCCTCCCCTACTCTTACCCTGCCTCATCCTCCAGCCAGTGTCTCCTCTGCCATTGGACACAATCTCATGCCTATCCCTGGGTCACGATTTTTCACAATCCCGTTCAGACTACTACATTCCGAGCATTTACAGTTTGTATTTCTGTGGTAAGCTCATTGGTTCCAGCTGCAGCTCGCACTGGGCTGCCTGAGGGCTCAGGAAACTACTAGCGATGATAAACTCAGCGCAGGTTTAATACTTTCCTGGAATTAAATAGGGAACCGTGGCAACTAGACAACAATGTACACTCTAACTTTATCCACCTTGAATCTCAGACCAGTTCCAACGTTATGAGGGTCTGCAAGCTGAGGAATGTGGGATCCTGACCGGCTGTGAGAACGGGAAATGTATCCGTGTCCCTGAAGGATTTACCTGTGCCTGTGATGACGGTTATCAACTCGACATGACCAAAATGGCGTGTGTCGGTATGGGCTCCAGGGCGTGCAGGCTGTGGGGGTTGTGGGCTGAGGGTACAGTGGGCAGCATATGGGCCCGATTCAGATGGGGGTAGGGGGGAGCAGATATGGTCCCGATTCAGTGGTGGGGGATATAGTCCTGGGTACAGTGGGGCACATATGGGCCCAGGTACAGTGGAGGGGGAAAATGGACATTGGATAGGATGGTTGGGGGAGCGGTTTATGGGTACAGTATTGTGGAGAGGATATGGTCCTAGGTATATTAGGGGGGATGGTATGGGTACATGATACTGAGTAGAGTTTGGGCGCAGAATACAGAAGGAAATGTGGGGGAGGTGAATCTGTAAAGGGGGACTATGGGATCGAGTAAAGGGGAGGAGTCTTGTTCAGGGTTGGGCTAGTATGGTACTGGGCTATGTCTTGGGGGGAGCAAGGGTTTTGGTACAGGTATAGAGGCGGTGGGGGCAGGGACACGTGATAAAAAGGAGTGAGGTGGAGGAATCAGTTCAGAGCAGGATTCACCTGGAATACTCCCTTTGCTCTGGCACAGAACCAGCAAGGGACTGGATTCTCCCCCTCCCTTCAGCAGAATTCCTCCCCCCCTACCTACCCCCTGCCCCTGGATTGTGTAGAGGTGACTGGGGGAGGGGGGATTGCTGATAGGAGGGGGTGGGGTGCTGAGTGTTTTTGAGGGGGTGGTCTCGGGTGCGGGTTGTCTGGGTGTTGAGGGTGGGTGGTCTGGAACAGCTCTTTGGGGGCTGGTGTTGGACTGGGATGAAGAGGTTGGGTCGTCTGGGAGGGTTGTGGGTGGAGGTGTCTGGGTGGGGAGGGTGCATTTTGAATGTTGTACTTCCTCTGTTTCCCTTGCCCCAGACTAAAGCCTTGTCTGTCGGTCGCAGATATAAACGAATGTGATGAAGTGGATGACCCGAAGACACTCTGCAGAAACGCAAAGTGTGCAAACACTGACGGTTCTTACCGATGTATCTGCTTACGGGGTTACGTGTTGTCACGGCAACCCAACTACTGTGTACCAGTGGAGCAGAGAGCATGAAGAAAGCAGGCCCGTGAAACCAAAGATTCAGACTAGCAATCAATTCCACGTTTATCAGACAAGGGGAGTGTTGTAGAATAAGAGGGTGGAAGGTATTTATTTAATTGCTATTTAATTGATATTGGACAACACCGAGGAAGGAATGTAATAAATGCCCAGCCCCATGAAATGAGATAGACATCCCTGAATTGTGCCATTCAGGCTCTCTACCCAAATCTTTAAGCAGGTTTCTGTTGGGCTTCAACCCAATGGCTGGAAGATTCAGTCCCATTCCCTCACATAGCGAGGAATTCGGAATGTCTTTCTCAATCACAAAAACACAAAAAAGATCCCAGGTGTCATTTGAAATACCTACTAGTCTGTTTTATAACAGACTATAACAGTTTTATAACAGACTGAGGTTGAATTAAGATGTTGCCAGTCACTGTGTTGCTTTATCCCTGAGAAGCTCCTGCCCTTTGGAGAAATGATTTTTCTCACTGTGTATCTAGCAGGGATGTAAACAGAAAGAACCCCACCTGCCAATCTCCTTCGCTCCTGTGCTCTCCTGCTATACCCAGCACCACAACAAACCTTTAGTGCTTCTCATTCACTCTGAGACAGTGAAGGTGACGAGCCATTCGAACAGTGAAAGAGGCACCCAAGCTGAATGACCCAATAGGCAGTGGCATACACTGGATGGTGATGAGGTGTGGGAGACTGCACTGATTTCCTCCTCCTTGCCCAGGGGATGTTAAACATCCAACAGCATCAGATTGTGCAGCAAAGACGGAGATCAAAGCTGAACTGTAAACCTTAGTGAGCATCCGGTAGAAACTTGATTTGGCAGCAGTTCATCAGCCTCTCTCGGAGAAATCACTGAAACACTGGGCTCGCAGAGATGGTAAAGTTTGCCGTAATCTGATTTACATTTTAGATCTGGTAAAATCTCCCACTGACCTGACGTTTTCCTCAGTTCTAATGACTGAGTATGGATCCTGGAACTTGATTCAAAAGTGTGAACATCTCTATGCTCTTTTGATGCCTTCTGTAAATCCCACCTACTTCTAATCACGCTCTCTCTCTGAGTCAATGCTCATCTTCCTGTCAATGGCTGTGATATGTAATGGGGCAGTTTCTACAATCAAAACAGCATGATGTTGTAAAATGTTGCCATTCCTTGTCCATCCAATCCATATTGAGCCCAGTTTGAGATTTTGATAAATCTAAGCCTGCTACATCCTGACCCTCTGCTTCTTTATCAACTTCTTTTCCATTCTTTGCAATCACAGCAAGTGTAGACATTAGACCTTGCATTTTCACCTTGATTTCTCAAAGAAAGTCAATTTGCAGAAATGAATGGGGGTTAGGAATCCCATAATGACCATAATGACAATTAAATACATAATCTTAACCTCAAGAGGCTGCTGGACTTTCATTAGCCAACATCCCTCTGTCTCCCCCATTCAAAAATGATCATGTAGTGATACCACCACAACCAATCCTAGACTTTAGATCGAATCAGAGATAGTAGG